GGGGTTCGGGCTTGTCAATGTCGTGTATTGCCTCTCTATGGTATTATCAGAGAGTGGTATTATATAACACTGGAACTGGAACTTGAGGTGACATGATCAGTGGGCCCCTCGGCTGAATTCTTGAATGAGACCGCTTGTTTTGACACCCGACTGACAAGCCATCCACAACGTCACACTGTGCGCCTATATATTGTTGTGAACGCTTTCCCTTAGCTTGAATACATATATAGGCCTATATAAGGCCTACAAATAATTATGCCGAACTTCAGTGTTTCAGGAGTGTGCACGCATGCTTATATCGTCAAACTACAAAGGTTATAGACACGGTTTAGTATGTCATGTGGATGGGTGTGTGTCTGTGTGTCTGTATTTTTTCTTTTCTTCAAATTGTGATTCCTCTAACTCCAAAAAGGAGGAAAAGCGATCGTTCATCGGAAAGACATCCATCCGCAATCTTCATTTAGATCTAGATCTAGGCTAGCCTCGAAACTAGATCATGTCTGTCTGTCTAGATCTAGCCCTAGGCCTAGGCCATAGAACCTGGATAGACCCTGAGCCAAGAGGGCGCTGAAACTTTCCGAAATCACAAAAGAGTTCCTCTACTGGGTCTGTGTACTTTGTGACTTTACTTTGTTCCCGGTTACCGGGTCTGTATACACTCCCTTTAACTAAAAAAAAATCAATAATATAATTATACTAAAAGTTCTAGATCTAAGCTAAAATAAGGCCTACATATACTAATGACTCATCAAAGAGATCTAGATCTAGATCTAAACAAGAAGATACTCCGCAAGGTAGATCTAGAAATGTTAGAAACTCATCTTACACTCATTCAACTCATTCAAAGGAGTAGGAGGAGTGTAATGACTTAGGAATAAACTGGCACAGTCATGTATGATGTTGCCAATGTCAAGGTGCCCCTCAACTTTGACTGAACTCTCATGAGCCTGACCCGAGTCTGTGTTCAGTGGAGTATATCAGTGAGTGACACCTAAAAATAAGACCTAGATCTAGATCTAGATCTAGATATAGATTCTAGATCTAGATCTAGACTAGATCTAGAAATCTAGATTAGATCTAGACCTACATACTACATGACTTGAATACCCAGCCAGTCACAATAACAAGTTCCAACGAACAATAACAATTTAAGTTGGGAACCTGGATAGATCTAAAATCTAACACGACAATAGCAATAGCAAGATCAGATTCTGGATCTAATCTAGATCTAGATCTAGATCTAG